AATTACCGTTATCAATTTTAATGACATTCTCTTTTGCTATTTTTCAATACGCAGAATATTCGCGTAAAATTTTACAATTTAAAAGGTATTTTGGAACAAGAATGTTTAATACAAATTTCTTCTGAAATTCTAGGAAAATTGTTTTCCCTTACTTTAAAACTTTTATGCTTAATAAGGGATTCGTTGTGGAATATTTATGTAGGTGAAATTTTTAACATAGGTCAATTCAAAATAATAATATTGTGAAATGTAAGATTGATAGATCATTGCGCATTAAAAAAATTGAAAATTCGAGGGTATTAAAAACGGTAAATATTGAAATTAAATGAATATTAACAAAATAAATTAATACCTTAAGAAGTAAACTAAAATAAAAATAAATTATTAAAACTAAAAATAACATGTACAAGTTTTATTAGTAAAATTCATTGGACTTTTTCTGTTATATAAAAAGAAACTGAATAATAAAGATTTGATTCTTATTTTCATCTTTTATGACCTTACTATATGGCATCGAACTAATATTCCAATAAAAAAAGTTTTTTTGCTTTTTGAATTTTTTGCAATAAAACAAAAGTTCTTTTTGTTTCTATTTGAGCATCAGATGGCGAAATTGTAGAATTGTGATATTTCAATGTCAAATTAATTTTCTTTAAAATTTATATAAATAGATTTACGTCTACACATGTGTGTGTACAAACGTATAATATAATAAGCTCTCAAATGTTTAGTGAAATTTAATAAAAAGATTTTGTTAAATAAAAAATAGCATAATTCTCTTGCTCTTTTTATTATTGTGCACACAAAACACATAAAACTCGAGAAACGTTTCTATTTTCATCATTTGCAATTTATTACTAAGCAAAAGAATTTTATGAGCAACATTAATATAAATTACAATTCAATATTAATTTGAAATTATGACTTTCTTGCTTTATTAATTTAGGACATGATAAAACCATATGTACTTTTAATAAACTTTGCTGTTTGATTGATATTTAAAAAAAATCTGATATAGCCAGCACATAACAGAGCCCAATATATATTTTCCACAAAATATAATTTAAAGTTCTCTCTAATTTTTTTTTAATTTAATTTTGTTCTTGGTAGAAGCTTAATTTCTGCGACCCATTCTTTCTGGAAAATTTGCTTAATTTGCCAAATAACATTAATATTCAAAAATTCCGTTGATAATTTCCTTAGATATGGGCATATCAATGTGAAATTGAGACCCACTAAATTTTTGCTTTCCGAGCCTTGCAATAAATTTGTATAAGTAGAAAGGTTAAACTATCCCAATTTATCTATCCCCCAAGTACTAGTCTACAAACGTTTTGGTTAAAATAAAAAGCTCCTTAAATTGCGAGAAAAGTTTAAATATTTGATGACAAAAAAAGTATCACTCAAAACTTAATATTTTACTTGTATATTATACATATACATATATACACGTAGTTTTCAAGAAAAAAAAATAATAATCTTTAAATATATGGATTAAAACTTTATGATGCACGAAATTTAAATGACTTGTCTTAATAGTAAAATTAAAAAATGTTTTCACTAGATTTATCAGTTCTAGTTTGAACTTTATGCCACCAATTAACTTCTAAACCTCAAATTAATTATACCCAAATAATAATCGTAAAAATAGATAATAAAAATAGATAATAAAAAGAAATAATTCGAATTTAAAACTGCATAGTAACAACAATAAAATTGTTATTTCCTCTATTCTACTCTATAAATATGAATTATGAGATTTCGGTACAAGCAAGTACACTGAACAAAAACATAATTATCGAAGATTATAAAAAACTTGCAGTGAAGAATGAAATTTGTCTACGATTTTAATTTTTGAAAACACAGACTAAATGAGTAGAACGGTATGTGTTAAAAATGTGTTCTTGTTTTACTGAATTTCATTAAAACTCAAGGTAAATAAACTGGCGCCAAAACAACTATATGTTTTATATATTCCCTATGTTCTATATATTGATTTTCTTTTCTAGTAATAGAAATTTAAATAAACGTAAAATAGCAAAACACAAAAACACAATCAATATAATGAATATGCAATATAATATTTTTGACAATTCTATAAAAGCTAGACAGTATAAATGATTTAACTGCAGTGCTCAAACAACTTCACTATATTTCTGGCAATTTTGCCAGAAATATAGTGAAGTTGATAAAATAAATTTGATTGATAAAATTTCTTTAGGAATACAATTATAATGCAGTTAGAGTTTAGGAAAATAATTATAGTGCCCACTACATCACGTTATACTGTGTTTACGTAAAGAATTTGTATAATATGCATACTAACATGCCATAGCTGTTGCATGTATCAAAAATGCAAAAATAAATCAAAAACCGTTTCAAATCATTGAATTTTAAGAATTATATCAAGATATAATTTTACTTTCTGTCAAAAAAAGGAACTCAGTTCTTTTAGAAGTGTTAACAAAGGTGAAGGTTTTTCGCTAATTTTTAGTAAATATCAAAAAAGTTTTAATGGATAACTCGTTTTTCTAACTAAGACTTGATATACTTTATGGAGACTCTATCCCAATTTATTTTATTCTGCTTCACATTTACAAACATAATACATACATATAATGTACATGTTCCTTTATACATACGTTAAGAGGTTGTACTTAATTCTTAAAATATAAAATTTAAAATATTAATCAAAATCACATTATTTGTTTTCTTATTCAATGTAACCTCAATATTAAACTTCATTAAGTAAAGCTGACGGAAAATTATTTTATAGCATTTTTAACACTATATTTAATTACTTAACAATCAAATAAAAGACCTATTTTCTTTTTCATTTTGATGCTCTATTTTTATTGTTATATTGGTGGTTTTTTGATAAATGGAAATCGTTTTATTTCATCTTCTTTCCTTATTAACCTTTTTATAAGTCAATATTATGTCAATTATACATGTATATATTATGATCTATATACAAACATATATTTTTATATGCCTATATGACTACAGCGACCAAGAAAACAAAACTCAATTATGAAATATAATCCGTCCGGCGAAAAAAAACGGCTATAAATTAAATCACAATTACGTCACATACACGCTTAATCGCTTTAGTATCTGCTATAATGCGATCATAATAAAAAATTTTTTACAAATCTCACTCACTTCACAACATAACAACAGAACAATAATTATTGATCGATGTTCAGCTTACTAATTTTCTCACTGCTGGTGTTACCATACGCTGTTTACTTTCCTTCTTCTTTTATTTTATAAGTGCAAATGCATAAATATAAATGAAGGAAAAAAAGAATTAAAAAGAAATCACTACAAACTTGTTTATTCGAAAAATTCAAATAAATAAAGTTGGGTCAAACCAATGGTTTGTATTGTAGCACTTTTCCCTTCAGCAAGTGAAAATTCTGCTTTTAAATACAGTCTATGTATACCTGTCACAATATTAAAATTATTTTCATTCATATACAAAACTCTTTCTAGGATTGCATATATTTAGGATCAACGATTTATGCAGTCTTTGAAATAAAGCAAAAATTAATATAATGTGGGATTAACATAATGCTCGATTTTAAGGTTTAATTATGTGAGTTAAGAAAAATAATTATATTTTTTAATGTCATGGAATTTACCGTTAGCTTTTTGTGTTTATAGAAATTTGAAAAAGCTTGCGGTTTCGGAAATATAAGGTGTCAAAAATTCAAATTTTACAAATTTCAAGAGGCAATAACTTGAGAGGGGAAGGAGATGGAAAAAAATTTTCTTCCAACGAAATGAACTATTTGTTAATGTCTAAAAGCCCATAAAATTTCAAGCTTCTACAGGTTGGGGTCTAGAAAATAAACGACATCAAAAATTTGGAAAAAACGGACTTTAGATAACGGTAAATTTGAGCGGCCATTTTGTCTTTCTAAAGTTAACCTTTAGTATACCCCGCTAGGGGAAGCAAGCCACTGCCTTTCTACGTTTGCAAAATTTGAAAAATCCTTATGGTTTCATTGCACTAAATAGTTAAAGAATGGCATTTTTAGGGTTTCGGGGGGGTATAAAGAGGGGGAGATAGATAAAAATTTTGTTCTACGAAAATAAGTTTCTAGTAAAACTCTATGTACGTACAAAATTTCAGCTTTTTATCTTCAAGGGCGTAGAAGTTTTGTAAACAGACACACGGACAGACGGACGGACGGACGGACAGAGTGAAACTAATAAGCACTTTTTTTCAAAAATTTTTTGGAAAAGTGCTAAAAACAAGAGAAGAATATATCGAATATGTCAACTTTGTGATACACGTTTCGAATTTTTAGCAAAAGTGATAATATTTGCTGATACTAAACTTTTTTCTGAATTTCTAAATAAATGTTCGGATGTCACAATATATTGCAGCTTTTTAGTTTTTTGAGATTATTTTTAAAGTTTTGTTGCAGCAAAACAAAATGTTTTGAAAACAGAGATTAACATACACGCTTATCCAAAATTTAAATTTTGTGAATCTACGCACCTATTTTGAAATTTTGTTAAGCGGGTACAGATTTATAAAGAAACTTACATAATTTAATTGCTAAATTGATTCAGAATTCGAAGATGATCATGAGTATACATATATTTTCGCAGCTCAGTGGCCCTTTTCTTAGAAAAAAGCATAAAATAATACTTGTTATAAAATAACGTGAAATAACACTTATAAGATGAGTATACAAAACAAACATAATTCATATTGTATTGACAGAATGTGCATGCTATAGAAATGTAATCAAATGAATTGAAATTTTTGTTTTGAAAAAACGCCAAATTCTTCTACATGAAAAAATAAATTTAGTAACGAACTCTGGCAGTACTACTTATTTCACTCAAAACAAACTCAATCTCATTTTCACTAAATTAAGATTTTTTTCTCTTATCTCAATCTTTCACCAGTTTAACATTTTTCAGCTGCCGATGATAAAAAGCAAAACCGAACAGTTTTACTTGAGCTTTTGTAGTGAAAATATTGACCGCTTACGGACGAGTTTCTGAATATAATAAAAAAGAATATTTCAATATTTACTTTTTTAATGCAAACGTTATCTAGTTGAAAAAATATTTATATCAAAACTGAATTATATGTTTAATTCTGCAATAAAGATAAATTTGAAAAAATTTGTATAATGAGCTCATCATTAAATGTTGAAATAGCTAACGATAGTGATAATATTATCAAGCTTGAAGCAATAAAAAGTGCATTAACAAATGATTGGAAATTTTTAAAAGAAATTTATGATTTACTTTTGGAAGGAAATGTTTTCCCGGAAAATATAAAAAATGGTTTCAGTGGTTGCGGAAATCATAAAATCGTTGATTACATTTGCCCAAGTGAATTAAAAGTAAAATGTCAAAGTTATTTATGACAATTTTAAGTAATTTTAAAGCAAATATTTCAAGTCTATTTGAAATTACTTTCTTTGTGTAATTTTATAGTCAATGAGCGTCTAATAAAAAAAGAAATTAAATTATCTTACCCGTAATTTCGATTTGATATAAACCCGAAATTAATCGATGTTTAGCCCTGTAAAAGCGTTTTTCTTCATCTTGTACATGTATGTATTTCAAATTTACCAAAGTTCAATCAGAGTCCAAAACCTCTTATCCAAAATTATTTAACCGAATTGGTATATAATGAACAAATAAATACCTTGTACGAATTTCTTAACACTTATTCTCATTGATTCAAAAGTCATGCATTCATTTTTGGAATTTATAGCATCCAAAACTGATAAGAAATATGTACACTACAAATTGACTTGTCAATTTTAAATTCAGATTTATTAGCCAATAGCTGAACCATGTAAATCTCAGAACAATGGAGCGGCAATTTTTTATTTATTCATTCTAATGCTTTAACCTATTTCTAACAAACTTACGATCACGAATAGCCCCTTTTACTTCCCAAAAATTTCATGGTAATCAAATTAGAGTATAGGACTGGATAAAGTATAGGACTGCATAAAGAACTCACAGCTTCAGAATTCAGAAGAAAGAAGAACTCAGGCACACATGCATTCATTTTTTATCTTAAAAGAAGGGTAAGATTCATGAGGTCCAGTAGTGGATGTAAAAATTTTGTAAAATTGATTCGTTTTCTGAAATTTTTATCTTGTTGTGTGCGATATCGGGTAACTAACGTATTTTTTCAAAATCAACTTTTTCGGCTTACACGGATTTAATAAAATTTTAAAAATTATGATTTATGCAGTATTGAATGCATTCTGTGATTTCGAACAAGAAGAACGACATATCGCTTAAAATAGTTTCTTTGTATTTAATAAATATGTAGTAGCGTAGTTCCTTCAAAAATTTAGAATATGAAAATTTGTTTTTCTATTGCAAGCATTGCCGTTGTAATGTTTAAAACAATTTAATTAAAAAAATATTTTATAAAAATCTAATTTACTAAAAATCCTTATAGAAAAAAATTGATTTAAAAATTGATAATTCGTCAAAGTCATCTTCGTTCTACGAAACGAATAACTATGAAAATATTAAGGATATTCTTAAAGATGTGATTAAATATTCAGTCAAAACAAATCATCCATATTTCCGTAATCAACTATTTGGTCAATTGGATCCCTTCGGTTTGGCCGGAACTTGGATATCAGAAGCTTTAAATACAAGCACGTAAGTAGAGGAAATATATACATATATGTATGTTAATGTATGTGGGAATGTATAAAATATGTATAAAAATATGTTGGAATATTTAATAAATGTATGTCAGAAACAAAAAATTTATAAGTTCTTAAAATTAAAAAACCAAAGAACATCTTTCAAAATATAAAATCAAACAAATCAATTGCTAAGAGTTACAAAAATAAATAAATTATAAAAAATGTTCTTTTTATTTTACTTCCAGGTATACTTTTGAAGTTGCTCCAGTATTTTCGCTTATTGAAACGGAAATAATTCAAACGTTTTGTAAATTTTTCCAATTTCAGAATGGTGATGGAATTTTCGCTCCAGGTGGATCCATTTCAAATATGTAAGTTGAATATACAAGTATTTTTAAAAGAACGTTTCAGTCAATATAAACCGAGTGAATTATACCCTACACCGCGACAATTTGAGTTTAGAAATTTTTTTTGAAAGTATTTCGAATTAGCTTTCATTGTTGTATGGCCATTACTTGAACCTGTCAAAGCATTCATTAAAAACTTCTGGGATATATGTGTCGTACAATTGGATACACGACGGCCAAATTTCGTGAATCTGGCTTTATTATTTTTTTAAATATTCAAAATCAGGTTTTGTAGTTGTATGGCAGTTACCCGACCAGTGTAGCCATTTCATTAAAATTTTCAGAGTATATGTGGAATTTAATTGGCCTTACATAATTTGATATTAATATCTGTTTAGTTTTCGAAATATTTAAAATAACCTCTTTAAGTATAGCAGCTACCCGAACGGAATTGTTCGTTGTCCGGACGAGTACAGTTATAGCTTAAAGGAGCAGTCCTTGGCGGAAAAAAAAAACTTATGAAAGTTTAGTGTCGAGTGCATTATTCGTTTTCGAGTTATCGTGTGATTGGACGGACGGACGGATAGTCATGTCTAAATCAACGCAGAATTTTACGCTAAGCAAGAATATATATATTTATATATATATCCATACCGGATACAACTCCTTAAAGTTCCATGCCAAAGCACCTTGACGAAGGTGCAGGGTGTAAAACATTTAATTACGGCATTTTATTCTAAATTTTATCATTTGAAAGATTGAATGTTTAAGGATACAATTTGCAGAATAGTAGTACCGTTTTCAGCTTTGTCTGGGTCAAACAGTTTCCAAAAACCTGCTTCTATTAAATTGAATAGATTCGAAATAAAAAAGGTGAACGCATGGACCGTTTAACATCAAATCATGCGAACCCAATTTAAATCAAAAACCAAATTATTATAGACTATGTATGAGCATATTTTTTTTAATTTCATTACTGTTTCTACCTGATGCATGATTACAAACATCAAAAACAAAACTTACTGTTTCTTATTGTCAAAAAAGTCGTCGTAATGCAAAATTCCAAAGAAAAATGTGCGCATCCTCCCTAGTTCTTTTATTTTATTATTTTTGCATTAGAATGAATACTAATAACATTGAGCTTGTTACTTAAGAAAAAAAAGTGGTTTAGCTTTTGATTTTAATAAAAACAAGTTTTTCGTCATTTTGAAGAGAATAAAAACACGACAAGAATTCGATATTTTTTTATGCATACAACGTTTAAACTTGTTGTATTCAACCACTGAATGATTGATTTTTTACGTCTGTAAACGTTTTTTCCCGAACACATTCGATTTTGTTGTAAATCAAAGACAAATATTCGGTATAGATACCGCTTCCGAGCTGAATATTAAATTATGAGTTCAAAATACGTAAATACTTAGATATAATTTCTCATTTTGAAATTTTCATTTCTCTTTTCAGTCTCATCTCTCAGTTGAATTGACGTGACGTTAAGTTAATGTCTCTATTTTATTTTTCTCTTTGTTTCTTTAAAATACCAAAAATTTTATTGTTTCTCTCTTAATGTCCAAGCTCTTTTATGGCTTATAAATTGTTATGATTTCATTTTATATGCTGAAAAATTTTAGCAAACAAAATAACTAATATTTTTGTGCTTGTGATGTAATTTTTAATTTCGAACAATCACTCAGGGAAAATATTTTTTGTTATTATACCCGTACGAACGTATGTTCGAAGGGTATACTAAATTTGCCTTACCGTTTGTAAGTCTAAGAACTAACGGTCTTAGATATAGACGCAAGTGTATGTTTTTGATCAGCGTCAAATTCTGAGTTGATTTAGCTTTGTCTGTCCGTCCGTCCGTCCGTCAGAACGATAACTCAAAAACTAATTGAGCTAAATTCACCAAATTTTCAGAAGTGATTTAATGTAGTAAGTGCTAGAACCCTATTTAAATTGGACGTGATCGGGGTACCGGTTCGGGTAGCTGCCATACAACTTCAAAATTTATTTGGCTATATCTCAAAAACTGTAAAAGCTATGGTATTAAAATTTCACACAAATGAATATATTAGTAGGGCCAATGTGCTTGATAAAAGTCGTTGAAATTTCTTGGCTCCTTCTGGTACCTGCCATACAACTTCTAAAGTTTTTGGCTATACCTCAGAAACTATAAAAGCCATGGTATTGAAATTTCGCACAAGCTAATATATTAGTAGGGCCAATGTGTCTAATAAAAGTCGTTGAAATTACTTGGCTCCTTCTGGTACCTGCTATACAACTTCAAAAGTTATTTGGCTATATCTCAGAAACTATAAAAGCCATGGTAATGAAATTACCATGTAAACAAGCGAATATATTAGTAGAGCCAATATGTTTGATAAAAGTCATTGAAATTGCTTGGCTTCTTCTGGTAGCTGCCGTACAACTTAAATAGTAGTTTAGCACACACAGTATTTTGAGAAACACAGTACTGAAATTTTGCATAAATTAATATGGTAATACGGCAACTTAAAGTCCCATAGTCAGTTATGTCAAATTTATTCACACATACGATAACAAATTCGTACGGGTATCACAGAGTTGACAAGGTCACCTCTATTTTTTCTCGTTTTAATTAAAATCGATACCCCAAAGTATATAATCAATACCCCACGATATAAGTATATTCAAAAATCAAATTTAATAGTCGAATATGAATTAAAGTAAAAATTAAAGTAATGTTGAGCAGATTGAAGGAAACTTCTTTATTGTTATTTAAAATTAAAACCCAATAAATCAAATTACGAAATGAAATTATTGGAAGAAAATTACGATTTCAAGATTTTATTTTAAAAGTTAATTGCATATTTATTGTCATCTATGCAGGAGTAACAACAAAATTTCCAAAAAGAAAATTAATAATATTCATTTTCTTTAAACCTTGTGCAAGAACACAAAAACCTTTTTATTAAAATTTTTCATAATAACGACATTTAAAAATATTTATTTACAGGTACAGTATTGTCCTGGCCAGATATAAAAAATTTCCAGAAACGAAAACAAAAGGATTATTCGGTTTACCGCCTTTAGTTATATTCACATCAGAAGAATCACATTATAGCATAAAGAAAGCATGTAATTGGCTTGGCTTCGGGTATAATAATTGTATTACAATAAAAACAAATAAATTTGGTCAAATGCTAGTAGCAGATTTGGAAGAAAAAATACTTGAGGCAAAAAATGAACATAAAATACCATTTTATGTTAATGCTACAGCAGGTTCAACCGTTTTAGGTGCATTTGATAATTTAGAAGAAATAAGTGATGTTTGCAAAAAGTACGATTTATGGCTTCATGTCGATGTAAGTTGATTTATAATAGGACGATATTATATCGTATATTATAGTAAAATATTTACAACACTTAAATAATATATCACAAGAATTTTGTAGAACAAAAATTCAGATAGCACAATTAATATTAGAGAAAGAGAGTAAAATCTACAAACTCAAGCAGTTTCTGAACTTAGAAATTACCTTGTCCACATGTACACTGTAAAATTAATATTAAAAGATGACAAAGTACAGAAAATTGTACTTGATTCGGCAGAAACCAGGCGGTGGCAAATACGGCTTAATCGCGGAAAACTATTGACAAATATTAGATGACAAAAAATTAATTACATTATAAGTGTATGATAGATGCAGATTTTCACTCAGCTTAAGAGAATATGTTGGATAGAGATGTTACTGAGTCACTCTTCTAAAAAGTAATTATTTTTAACAAAGATACCTTACCAAAAATGTACCCTAATTTTTGATTACTTAATTTGAGATTTTTCACTATCTTGGATTTTTTTAGAAATTAATAAAAGCGCTTAGGTTCATAGTTCACCTATGTCAGTACTCGTGCAAAATCACTATTTCTAATGTCGTTAGTTTTTATTCCAAAGTCATTGCTTACAGTTTAATTTTCTTATAAGACTTAATACATATTTTATTTACAATTTTTAGTTGATTTTAAATAAAATTTTATTAAGATTATTAAATTTTAAATTCTCCTTACTTTTCTTGTATTTCGAAGGCATGCTTAGGAGGCGCCGCAATTCTATCAAAAAAACACAAAAATCTACTCAATTCAGTATCAAAAGTGAATTCAATATCATGGAATCCGCATAAATCATTAGGAGCACCTTTACAATGTTCTTTATTTCTAGTAAATGGAAAAGAAATTATGACCAATGGCGATGTCAATCATGAACACACTGACAGTGATTCATCTACAACATCTTTACTTTCACAATGTAATGCAATCGAGGTTAAATACCTATTTCAACAGGACAAATATTATGATGTATCATATGATACAGGAAATAAAAGTATTCAATGTGGTCGTAAAATTGATGCATTCAAATTTTGGGTTATGCTGAAAGCAAGAGGATTAACAAGCTTCGAAACGCTAATTGACAATGCTTTAGATATTGCAAATAAATTTTATATTAAAATAAAAAACCGTCCCGGTTTCCGTTTAGTGCAAGAAAAATTTCAATATACAAATGTATGTTTTTGGTATATACCGAAAAATATGAGAAATCAACCGGAAAATGAAAATTGGTGGAAAATTATTAACACGGTAATATTAATAAAAATTTTTTTAAAGTAAAGTTTTATTCTCTGTACAAACATAATTGTTTTGCTATGGTTTGTTATTTCGAGTTAAGGTCTAGTTAACTTTTTATTTCATCTCTTAAAGATTCGCATATCTGCATAAAAATTTGCTGTAACTAATATTACGAATTTTCGAAAATTCCATTTTGCCTTAAAGTCAATAAAAATGTTATTTGACACAAGGAAATTAAGGTTATGTTCCGGATAATAATCTCAAAGCTCAAAGTTTTTTGTTTCTGTTAAGAATTAAAATATCAAAACCCACACCTGAGTTTCTTCTGTTGTTTTCAATTAAACAATATACGTATTACTTGCTAAATCACTAAATGTCGCCAACAGATATTTGTTCATAAATGTTAGATATACCATGAAAATTTATTTTTACTAAACCCAGACACTTTGTATATTAAATTTAACATATATGAACATATTTTAATTGAGAACCATAACATGAACATAATTGGAAAGTTTAATTTACATTTTATTTCCTTTATACTTTAAAGATTACAATATCACGTACAAATATTCAGATATACTCCAAGTACATCACAAAACTCATACAATAGTACACATAATATGGAAACATCATATTTTATTTATAAGTATACTTTTTGCCGACCGCATTGTTAACAACAAGGGAGGTAATGTTATGGTACCAAATTTTTATGTCAGAATCTCCGTCATATAGGGAAATAAAAATTAACTCTTTTTATTGAAACTTTGATTTGTCTGTCTCTGGAATCGCGAATTTCAATTTCAGCTAATACGACTTTCATGAAAGTTTATATCTGAGTCATGTCATGAATTGATTAACTTTTCGGAGGTATTATATCCGAGAAATTGGAAGTTTACTACGGGCCAATTTTACATTTCTATATATGCTTTCTCTGACAAAACGACAAGTTTTACTTTACCAGGTCAAGATATGCCTTACCAGATGTCAGCAAGAGTACTTATATCATTGGCCGAAGTTACATTTTTCCACAAATATCGAGAAATATTTTCAATTTTGATTCAAGTTTTTACTAATGTCAGGGCTGGGAAACAGAATTTGTATTATTGACCGATATTGCATAAGAAACTAATTAGAGAAATTTTTTGAGGTCTATTATTTGTTAACCTTTTCTTACTTTTAAACAAAAGTTTATTTTCCTTTTTAAAATTTTAAAGGAATGTTCAAAGGATATTTTTATAATCTTGCACAAAACATTCACCAAATCGTAAGTTATATTTTTCGATCGGTTATTTGCTGATCATACCAAATTTTTTACTGGAAAATTTCTAAAAATTAAATGAACACATACACACATACACGTAATAACTAATTTTTTTAATTTTAATTTTTGCAATTTCAGGTTGCTCCAAAAATCAAAGAGAAAATGATTATGTCAGGTACCATGATGGTTGGTTATACACCTTTACCATATCGAAATTTAGGAAATTTCATACGAATGGCATTTACATGTTTTCCGGTTTTAAATGAAAATGATATAGAGTTTTTAATAAATGAAATCGAAAATCTAGGGGAACAAATTTGTTTGTAAAAATTTTTGGTTTTTTTTTTGTAAGTTTTAAGTTTTTGTTTTTTTTTTACATTTTTATTGTAACTTTTTTTGTTAATAAAATAGGGAAGTAATTTATATAATTATATGGGTAACTTTTATAAATTATCTTCTAAATAAATTAAGAATTTTAATTAAAAATATTCAAAAATTATTTTGATATCTTTTAAAATTTAAGAAATTGTACAGTTATTAAATAACTTAACAACAAAGAATATAAATAAATTAAATTTATACACTTCCAGGAGCACATTCGCGTCAAAAGTATTACTTAAAATACTATGCATTACATTTGCATCAAACTGTGAATTTCTCCGGATGTAACTGAAACCAGAGGACTAAAACCAGCAATTATGCTTATTAAACAATTCAAAACTATATAAGCTTCTCGAATCATAACTTTCTTCACAGGATAAAACTATTTATTGCTTAATAATGAATGTTAAATATTGAACGCTATATGTCATGTCGTTTGATAGTAAATCCTTTCATTATTTACGTTTCAGCTAAATATAAATTTTTTAAGCCCCACATATAAATTTAGTATCCCTCAAAAATCGTATTACTGAACTACAAAGATTGTTTTTTTAGAAAACCTTATAGAATATTGAATGAGCTATGAACATATGTATGTGAAACTTAAAGTAATAGACCTTTTCATAACAATGCATATTTCAGTATATCATGACATTATAGTGAAAACTTGGCTATATTCAAAAACAAAAGTTGCTAATCTAGTTTGTTCATAAACAATGCTAAACTTTCGCGAAATTATAAACATAATATGCAGGGTAATTCAGAAAGGTATACAATAACATATACCATTGGTTAGAGGGTTGAAAATTGGTAAAACTTTTGTGTCGGACCAAGTGCGAAATCTCAAGGGTTTTCGAGATAAAGGGATTTTAACTTTGTCGAAATTTTTACTTATCCAAGTTTTTTTCATAATAACTTCGGTCCTGAAAAAGATAGGAACTTCAAACAAACAATTTCAGAAAGGCTTAGCAAAGGACTTAAAATAGAAATACTGCTTGATTCTGTATTTTATGTACCTTCGAAATAGCAAGCATTCGAACTTTAAAGAAAATAAAATTTTTCCTTTGATTTCTCAGTTTTTTCTAGTTAGATAATTTCGTAAAAAAATTTTTAAAATCTTGAAATTTTAATTATAAAATTTTGCCCAGCCGTTTAAGCTTTAATTTAAGTTGTCAAACATTAAAAAATTTTGTATGTTACAGAAGATATAGCACAAAAACCATTTATATGTCAAGATTTTAAAGGCCCTTAAAAACAAAGATTTTTAACGCTGTAATTATTAACTTAATTATTAGCATTAATTTTTGATGACAAGAGTCACTCAAAAAAACAGTTGACATTTTCAAAAGCCGTTATTTTGATAAAAAATCTGAACTTTAATGTTTTTATTGAAATGTGATAAATAATAAGAAAATTGAAACGAAATTTTGAGTTTGAAAAAAAAAAATTAAATTTTATAATTTTGAAATTTATAAAAAGAAAAACTAAAATTTTGTATTACAAAAAAAAATCTAGTAATCAAAAATTTTTTTTCGAAACTTTTCTTGGTAAAGAAAATTGATAGGTTTTTTATTTTTCCCAATTTTTATAAGAAATGGTACCTATATGGTTTGAAATTTTTAAATGCATTTTTCTCAGATTGGGTGCTCTATAAAAATTTGAAAAAATAATTTTCGAAATCTAGACACCATTTGGCATCTTAAGTTAATAAAATTATCTAGCTGAAGCAAATTTTAAAAGTCATGCCATACAAATTTTGACATTTATTTTATTTGAAAAAATTTTTTTTTAATAATAAAATTTAATTTTTTTTACAAAATGGAGTTTGTAAATGAAATTGTATTAACATTATGAAGCTAATAAATAATTACATAAAATTGTTGTACGGTTGATGCAACTAAAAAGGTGTTCCATTAAAGCAATTAATTTGAAATATGCGATTGAACAGAAATAGCTTTGAAAGAAGAAAAACATAAATTTTTGCCGAACTAGGTGAATTTAGTGTTCGTTTTGAGAAATTTGTAAAATTTTTAGATAAGGAATTCGTATTGCTCCAAATTTTTTGATAAAGGAATATTAAATTGAATTTAATTTTAGTTTCATCAAAATCTGGTTTGATTTTAATTGAATTTGTGGCTCACAATATTTATGGTTTTTGTGCTCTATCTTCTGTACCATAAAAATTTTTTTAATGCTTGATGACTTAAAGTACAAAAAGCTGGGAAAAATTCCTTAAAAAAAAATTCGGACGCTTGGTATTCCGAAGGTTCATAAAACAAAAATTAACCAGCATGTCTATTTTAAGCCCTTTGCTAAGCCTTTCAGAAAGTGTTCGTTTGAAATTCGTATCTTTTTCAGAATGGAAGTTATAATCCAAAAATCTTGAATAAGAAAAAATTTCGTAAAAATTCGTTCAAATCGCTGGAGCTCGGAAACCATTGAGATTTGGCACCCGCAGTTCAGATCATCCTGTATATAATGATATAAAGCCAAAACTTTATAGAATTGTCAAAAATATATCGCAAAAAATATACCCATCACATAATATTTTTGCAGTATTGCTTATATAACAATATCTAATCTAATTTTCAATTGGAACGGTATAATTCTAAATTTTGTTTTAGTTTTTCTAGATTTCATTTACGAGGTATCTTATAAACGTCGTCTCCTCATAATGATTTATGGAAGTTCACTAAGATACGAGACACCCTGTATAACTAAAATAGTCATCAAGTTTGCAACTATCAAGATTTTAATTTTCCGCGGTTAAATTTTATTTCCGCGGTTAAATTTCATTTTTTAACTGTGCGCATGTAGTTCAGTTATAAATATATTATTGCTTTATTTAGAAATAAATTTGCATAGTACTTTAAAAACGAATACATTTAAAAAGTTAGAGTAGTTTTGTATATGTCAACGGAAGTTCGAATTTGTATGGCTATACGTATATAAAAAAGAATATAAAAAAATTAACGATTTTTTTATTAACTCTAAAAAAAAAATTTAAACAAATTTTTCTAATTTTCCTTATTATATCCTGAATCAATTGTATGACCACTACCATTAAATTGTTCGCAAAATGAAAGGTTTACAATTTTTGTATCCACAGCCTATATTCTTTGAAATTCATATGTATTCTAAGAAATATTTTTTATTCACACTTAAAATATTAATTTGCTTTTGAAACTGCTATGAGTTCATTTTTTCATACAGAAGGCTCTGCGTTTGAATCAATTTAAAAATATTGCCCATAATAACGTAATTTGTATATTTTATGACTAAATAAAACTCTATTGAAATGGGATTGTAACTATGGAGAGAAGGTAGCTGTAGCTCATTAAAATTACGATTAACTTTGTCTTTTTAAAAAGTGGATTAAAACAAAATCGCTTAATTGAGAAATTGCTAATAATAGATTTATTATAGAGTAAGGAGTAAGTGGGAAGTATAAAAAAGCGTATATTACAGATTTCGCTAGTTTGAATACAAAAGCAATTTAATTTGTAAAAAAATATAAAATATATTTAATATACATTGTATAAAATACTTTACTAATATGAAGGGTAAATAGAATTAAGAGATGAATAAATCTGAATATGGGATGAGTAAATACAAACCCATGTCTATTATAAAGTTATAAAAATTTGCATATACCAATAATATTTATTATCATACAGAATAAAATTCGCGGATGTTGCTAATTAAAATTTTAAGGCAACATTTTCTATAATCTCTTCCTCTCTTTTATAAACGAACACGTCATATGTATGTGTGTACAAATACTTCATATACGAGTACTACTTTTGATGTCTTATTTTTAAAACTTTAAAAGAAAGTTTACGGAAAATGCTAATTTTCAAGATTTTATCAAAACAAACTAGTATTTGCATAAAAAATACATAAGAATATAAAAAGAGTAGAATATATGTATGCGAACACGTAAGCATAAAATATATGAAAAACTTTTGAATTAAAAATATTCAGAATGAAGCTGTAAGAATTTTAAAATAAAATTTGGAAAAAATTGAAAGAAGTTTATAAGGAAAATATTTACATAAACTTATAAATCTTAAATTTGATTGTTAAAAATTTTAGACTTGTTGATTTTATTTTAAAATTTTTCTTTACTTACTTTATAGAAGCTATAATTACTTAGTACTAACAAGACTTCATTCATCCGGTCCTATAGTACAGAAGTCAGATGCCATTTCACATTTTACGGTGATGAATATTTAGTACTAAAATTCAGAAACTAGAGCTCAGTTTATCTAGTGCCATTTACTAAACTAGTTCTAGCTCTAAACTAGCGCATTTACCAGTGTTCTTTATAAGAAAAACTACTAAGTAAAATTTCTCGTAAATTTCCAAAGTAGGTTTATAAGTTTCCCTTCATTTGTCCCTGTATTGGTCTTTTCCCCAAAATTTCTATATCTTTTAAGATATAAAATTGAAAACTTAGAACAAATCTTAGCAAAAACATGATTTTTCCAGAACAATATCATAAAAAATCCCTTCACCCTTAGCTATATATTTTCAACATCATAGAAATCATACATAGTGTTGAAATCAATGCACTCGCAAAATAAATGTTACATCGTCTCGTCCTCTTCTAGGCAAAAACGGCAGTTCTCACCCTCCGATCAGACAAATATTTAAATAATATTCGAAAAGAAAGCAATGATAAGTTGAAACGTAAGGAATATAACATATGTAACTAGCTTTCCCCCCTTCCAAATGGCTGTTTTCCCCCTAATTCACGAGCCTAATTCAATAAAGACACAAGTACAGCATAATTTTTCATAACAGAAAATAAATATCTTCCCTAAATTAAGCGGAGTTTACATAACGAACCATTGGTAGGATCAAAATTCTGTACCAAAAGAAACTGTAAACCAAACTATAAATAACTCGTTATCGTAAAATGTAAATTACACAGCATTACAAACTTATTCTTAAAAAAAAAAACGAGGATAAAAATAATTAAGAAATTTAAAAATTTTTAATCAAGAAATTTTACAATTTAGCATAGCAATAACGTTAGAGCGTGAGTCTATGAACTCATCAACGCGTTATAGTCGAAAACTTTATTATG